TAGATCCAAGGTATTTAGGGTTGCATGTACACTTAGGAGTGTTAGAATCCTCAAAACCCAACAATCAATTCCTAATAGCGCTATCCATAATGCCTATTAGCTCAAAGAGTTAATGGTTGGATTAAAGTGTAAGGGAAGGGACTTAATATGATAAGGCCTCATGTTTCAAGTTGCATAGACATACATAGAAAAATATAGCAATCAAATTTGATACAAATCAATTCAAATACAGCGAACAATAAATAGTTTTTTGGACATGCTTTTCCCCCCCAAAACATAAAAACTGAAAATAGGGGAAGGCGTGAATACTCACGATGCATCGAGATGATGCAAATGATGCCTTGAACTACATTCCACAGGACCTACTACCGATGCCCTACAATAATGGTATACACTAGTAAGTCTCTAATCGAAAATCTAACACTAATGTACTTAATTTCTATAATAGAATTACGCCAATATTGTGTCAAAAATTAGGTTTTTTTGAAAGTTGCAAATACTTTTCTAAAAATTCAGATTTCCATATACCTATTGACTTATGAACATTTGCAAGTGACAAATCCGATTTTGTGTTATTATTTGAAATGCATTTTAGCACTTTTAGAAGGGCTTTCGAAACTAAAAATCAAAAACGACGAAATCAGTTCTAAACAGTTCCAAACTTTACATTCAGTTCTAAATATTAATTTAGAACCCTCTTGTAGTTTTCATGATTTTTAAATATTGTTTACCATTTTGCCATCGATTTAATTCCTTCAAACATCTTAAAATCGTGAAAAAATAATAAACACATTACTTAAACTTCCCAACTTTTTGTAAAACTGTTATACAATGTATATAAACCGAAAAGAAAATACTCAAATTGATTTTCAAACAGTTTAACCCGATTTTATGATTTTTGTGTGTTTATTCCATCAAAAATAGAGATAATTAGAAAAATGTTTCTAAAATTTCCCAAACTTTTTTTACTTGTGTTAATAGACATATAAAATCTGGGAAGAATATAAAAGTTGGTTTCCAAACAGTGTAAATATTTTCTTTGTTATATTAACTTAAATAAGCATTCATTCGTGAATAACTAATAAACAGTAAATGAAAACTACCAAACTTCTTATTTGTCGCTTAACTATAATATAAGATGTTATGGAAATTTATTATAATTTTTAGAACAGTTTAGCTATTTTCCCTTGATTTATTCTCATAAATGAGCATTAATTCATGAAAAAACAGTAAACAGTAATAGAAATTCATGAAACATTTTATTCACGGTTAATATGTATGCATAGATGTTCTGGAAAAGTTTTATAATTTTTGGACTTGTGTAGCTATTTTTCATCAATTTAATCTCTTAAACATTCATTAAATCGGGAAAAATAAGAAATTGTCTTCGAAAAATCTGAAAACTCTTTCATGGATTATTTATGATGTCTAGAAGATGATAAAATTATGAAATATGGCTTTGGACATTCACAATTGTATTTTGCTATTTATTTTGCTTCAACAAAAATAAATTAGAAATCAACAGAAAACAGCCTTAGAAATGCATACAACTTCACGAAAAGTCTTTACTATGTGGATAGGTGATACCTGAGTTTTTCCAGAATTTATTAACCATAAAAAGAATTTTATTTGAATTATTTCTCTTTTTTCTTGCAAAAACTACAATAAATCGAGAGAAACGAGTTATTTTCTGAAAATTTCCAAATCATCTTATTTTGTTGTTTGGATTCTGGGAAAATTGGATTTGAGTAGAAAAGAAGTTTTAGATATTTATTTATGAATAAATCCTTTATGAGCATTCTTAACAATGTACTTTGATAATCAAGCCTTTAAGCTTGATATTCATCACATGAATTGTGATTTGAAGACCATGAATGACCATATTTTGTTCAAAATGATGTTTCTAAATGAAAAACTTGACTTGATGTGGTTTTGGATCTTTAAAACTTGTAAAACTCAAGTTGATGGATTTGATTTAGGTTTTGATCATTGGATTTCACATTCTAAAAACGTGCATGTTGTTTTGGAGTGAAATCCTTGCACCATCATCATCAAAATCGACATGCATGAACATGAATTTGAATAAACTCAAATAAAAGTGTTTATGGAGAAGAAAAATGCAAGAAAACTTGATATCTTTGAAAGAAAAGTGAACAAAATGTAAGGAAATTGATTTTACCTTGAAGATCAACTTCAAATGATGAATATTCTTGAGTAAAATGAGGGATATTCGTTGGAAATTTCTAGGGTTTTGGAGCTAATTCATAGAGGTAAAGAGTGGGGGTTTTAGAGAAGAGAGAAGAAAAGAAATTCTATCTCTCTGGATAACTCATATCTCTTGTCATCTCTTTGGGGTTAGACTCCACCAAAATACAGAGATGCTCACAAACTGATGAAGAATTGAATGGAAAAATCTCTCCTAGTGATGATGCTTCTAGGTTCATCATTTGCAGAGGAAATGAAGAGGGAAGTGTTTAGAGAGAGAAAGAGATAAGTGGAGTGAATGGGTGATCAAAATGATTAGTATTGGGAAGGAGAAATGAGGGGTAGAGAGGGTTTCGAATTTGAAGGATTGAGAGGAGATTTCATTTCATTTTGTTTATTTGTTTTGTAAAAATCGCTAAATTTTTATACAATTTCTTTCAATTTATATAAAATGTGAATTTTATATAAATTTTGTTCATAATTCTTGGATTTTCAGCTTATAAATGTAAAGTTAATGTTAATGAATTAAATTAATTTCCTTGATTATATTTCCACATTTTAAATATATTTATTGATATTATAGTGTTTATAAAAACTTTTATGGGATTTTAATATAAAATTCATAAATTTAAGTTTTTAGGACTTTTTGGGTTTTGAGGAATTTTGTAAATCTTTGGATATCAAAATAAATTTAATCTTTGAGACTTCAAACTATTTTAGAGTTTTATAACTCTTATTCAAGTTAGAAATAATGCTTGTAAATTATTTTTATCAGTTTATTGGCATTTTTATGTAGTGGTTCCGAGATTCAAGTTAAATTGAAGAATCAAGTATACTATCGCTAGTTTTCAACTTTGACTTAAGTTCCTACGAGAATAGGACCTAATTTCTACTACTAGGTTAAGTGCATGATGTGTGTATATGATTCATGCAAAGACGTTCAATTCAAGGAATGACCCGAATATGGATAGTCATTACAGTTAAGTAGTTGTAGAATTCACATACCAATGTGAAATCTAAGTACACAATCCTTCGATTATACTTGTTTCCAAGTTTCTAGTAGGTTATAACTTAGCTTCTAGTTACCAAGTCTAGTATGTGTCGTGCTTATATGTGCAACTAAGTTTATTCAAATCTAGAACTGTCTCGAATTTTGATGGTTTTCACATAAAGGTAAAGGAAAATTAGTCGATGATGATGAAGAATAAGAAAATTTATCAGAAGGGTCGAAGCTCAAAAGAAAGTAGTATGACAGAGAGCTAGATGATCTTGAGCTTGTCACTAAGGAAGCTAAAGCTCATGAAAAGGAGCTTTGTGATGCACATGTCACACTTGAAACTCAGAAGACTATCTTCCCTCCCAGGACCATGGAGCGGATTCTGAACGAAGTCATCGACAATCCAAGTGTTTACTGGTTGGAACTAGTTGTTTGTTTGATTTGGAGAACACTTCGGAATCTCAGCTTGACTTCCCAAACACTCCGAAGGCTTTCCTGTTTCGCGGTTTTGAAAAGATTAAGAAAGCTCCTATTACAGAAAAGGACGTCAATCATTCGCTTTTCTCTTTCTATCTTAAGCACGGGAAGCCTCATTATCGAACATGGAGTTCAAAGAAGATAACTGCAATAAAAGTCTTTGGTCCAGTTCAAATTGAAAGCTTCATCAACTTTGAATTCACTTTCGCAGACCTGCCATGCCTTAATCCATATATTGGATTTCTTTGTTTAATCTTTTTTCCAAAGATGGACAGAAGTTCGAACCTATTGTGGCACATTTGAAAAGAATGTTAACATCCTACATTCAAGAAGTTGGGAACATGGACGTTGAGATTGATGTTGTATTAAGAAGAAAACCAATTTTACGGCCAAAAGAGGCTCCCAAAGATATTGACAAAATAAAGTTGGGAAAAATCCAAAAAGATAATTGGAGTGTGGTATTTCAACAAAGTAATAAAGATGGAGCTAATGTTCAGATGTGTTTGTTCTCTTTACCAGACAAACATCTTTATTCCACATCCTGTCTGAACTACATTCTGGGGATAACTGATCAATACAAAGTGAACGATGTTGTAGATAAGAAGTGCTTCGCTGATATGATCAAGTGGTATATTGTGGTTCACGATAATTTGCTGGGATTAATGTCGAAACTATTCAATGTCCAGAAACATCAACAACACTGAAGAATCTACCTTCCTAATTGACATAAAGGGGGAGATTGTTGGGATAAATAATGTTGTGTCAATTTTTTGTACTAGAATAGTCCATAATTTAACGGGTTGAGGTTGTCCACTAGGGTTTTGATGGTATTAGGGTTAGACTATTTATAGTGTATGCATGCACCCTATTAGGTTAATCAATTGTATCGCCCTACATTACCTTTACAGAAAAGTTCACGTTAAACTCTTCTTAGGCTTTGATATTATAATCATTCGGCACTTTGTGATAATTTCTTCTTCTGGTTGAATCTTATTTCTATTATTGAATCAATCGATCATTAGTTTATTGTTTTAACACAGATGTTATGCTTCGCAAAGTTGATCCTGCAAATCCAACTTTCGTGACTTATCTTCAAACTATCAATCCTTCTATTGAAACATAATATTTTTTATCAAAGTGCATAGTTGGTACTTCTAAACTTGGCAAGGGGTCAAAGAAAGTTACTAAGGCTAGTTCTTCAAAGCCTAGTCATGTGTCTACTGAGAAGGAAATGGCGAAGCCTGTACAAGAGAAGATTATTGAGGATGATCAAAAGAAGGTTGTGCCTTCGAAGTCTGGGGTTCATCAACGATTAAAGAAAATGGATCATAGGCCTCATTCTCCAGACTGGCCTATTGTCGAAGAGGAAACTGCTGAGGTTCCTGCGAAGTCCTTATCTTCACCAAAAGGCGTTTCTAGATCAAAGAGGATTTGCAAACCTCAAATCAGTCGAAAAAGGGTAAAGATTCATGAGCTTCCAGCTCTAGTTTCTCCAACATCTAAGAAACAAAGAGCAAGAGACATGGTCAAGAAGATTAAAAAGAAGCAAAAGCAGGTTAGCGATCCATTGTATGAGGTTGTACTTGAAGTAGAGTTTGAAGAAAGTGATCAATCACCAACACAATATCATGATATGGCTTTTTCATCTCAGAGGGGCTCTCTAGTCTAGTCGACTTTCGAGGCGACTGGAAGTCTTAGTGGTAACGTGGAAACATCTAATGTGGACACAAACACTAATCTAGGTGATCATTCTCTTCGGTAAAACACTAATCACTGCGAACATATCTAATATGGACGAAAATGTCAACAAGGGCGATGAGGTGTGGACTACATTAGCCCATGGTATTTCCACAATCTTGACTTCTTTTGTTCCTGTTTCTATCATCATTTCATCCAAATTCGAAGCCACTGGTATTGATACTTCAACGTCATTACCATCATTTCACTTACCCATTACTACATCATTACCAACTTCTACTATTTTAACCATATATTCCTATATCATCGATCAACCTATCACCTCTTTATTTCCTTCTCAATCCACTAAAGGACCTAAATCCATTCCGGATGATACCACAGAGGAAGATGATTATACGATTTCCTTCGCCGATATCCAATTTGATCCTGAGGAGGAGAACAGACCAGATCATATACTTATGTCTGGTAAGCAGTTCAAGATTCTCAACCGCAAACTCAATTCGTTACTTCCACTTCACCCTGATGCTGGGAGTCAGAATAGTGTCTCTGGGATTGAAGTCATTGTTATGCTCAAGGCTCAGGAACTTCAGTGGAAAGCCATGATAGATGAAATTGATAAAAACAATGAACTGCTTGTGAAACATCAGTCTGAGTTGTTTAATCATGAAGTAAATGATTTACGAGAAGTTGCCAAAGAACGAGACATTCTTTTTGTTGAAGCTGTAAAGAAACTAAGAGAGGATGTCAATTTGAAACCTGAGGAGCTTCGTTCTAATATGACAAAGGAGGTTGTAGAGGTTGATCACAATTATTCATCTCTTAATACTAAGGTGGATAGTGTTTCTGTTCCTGTGACTAAGGTTGTTGAATCTTACACTTCTTTACTTCCCAAATTTGATAAGAAGCCCGAGTCTGATACTTAAAGTTTTGCAAAATTGGAAGAACTCTTGGGCAGTTTGATGGAGTTAGTTTTGAAACTTGGGTCTTCTTCACAGTTTTCAATTACTCAAGAATCCTTATCTTAAAAGCTTTTGTCTTTGGAGTCCACACTCAAGGTTGAGTTAGCCCCACTTTTGAAGCTTGTTCATCTAATTCCAACTGATGCCCCGCCTGTTCACACATGGGTACATGGGGGAGAAAGGAGTATTGACATGGGATCGTCAAAATTTAGTGGAAGGTTATGTCGACACATATTCCCACTTCATTGCCCAAATGCACGGTTTCAAATAATTCTACTTCTATCACAACAAGGTCATTGACAAAAGGTGTTGTTATTGGTTCATCTATTGGTGGATCAAGTTCGAAGCCACCTCCATCAACTGAAGAAATGAAAGGAAATGGAAAGGGTATTAACATTGAGCCAACTGTAGAAGAAAAGAATATAGCTTTAGAAAAAGAAATGAAGAACAAAGACAAATACAAATCATTTTAAGGCAAAGGCAAAGTGATCCTTCTGGTCTCGAAAAGGGTGATCCTACAAAGCCTTACTATTACGAGGCCATTGAAGCTTCTGTGTTCAGTGGAGTTATGAATGAATTCAATAAAGTTCCTAAAAAGAGCTTGGAAATCAAAAACACTGATTTCAATCAGTTGGAAGATAAGGAAGAATATAAGAGATTGAAGCTCCGATTCCATGGTGTTCTTGGAAAAAGAGAAAAGAAGATTTTGTTTTTGGTAAAGATAATGAAAGTTATGAATATCTCAAACGAAGTTTTATTCGAAGGGGTAATTCAGAATTTCAGATTTCATGTTGTCCGAGCCAACAATGTTGCTTTCGATTTTTTACTAGCAGATTTTCCATTGATGAATCTCAATGATCTAATGAATGTTGCTAAGATATTGAGATGTACTGATGTTTCGAAGCTTCAATTGATAAACAAAGAAGATTTTTTCTAGCTTGGGTTTGCACACATAAAGTTGTTCATTAACAATTAATATGATTGTCTTGCAATAACAGATGTGGAGCTTGCACTTGAAATGGGTCGACAAGTTTCTATGCCTCAATCAATTTGAAAGGTCAAGGGAGTCTTAAAAATTTTGATGATGGTGAGATCTGCATGAAACCAATGAGAGTGGTGTTCGTTGGGAAGAATAAGAAAGGGAAGAATACAAAGTTTTTTTTTTCAAGTATGTGACATAGAAAAGTATATCAATTCTCAATATACAAATCTACTTGTTCGAATGAATAATTGTAAGAAGAACAATGATGGTGATACAGTTGAGATTAGAAAGTCAATCATTTGGTATATGGAGACGTGGAGAGTTATACATCAAGCGGCCCAGATGCTAATGACTTATAATTCGACACCGCTCAGAAAGAGGGAGAATGTTGAGGTCGAATTATATTGTGAGGTGTCAAAATGTCTTGGGTTCTTTATTAGTTTCGAAATTTTACTTGTGTGTTTGCATAAGGGCTTATTTTAGTGTCGAAGGGTAATTGTATAAGCCCTTGTGTATTTTTTGTGTACTTCTGTAATTCCTATAAATAGGTATAGGTACTAGAGTTGGAATAACTTTTTGAGCTTTCGCTGTGTTTAATCTAAAACTTTCTCAGTATCTTTCAGACGCTATAATCAAGCCATCCAGATCTTATTTACACTTTGTGTTCATAATTCAATCTAAACTCTGATTTCATTTCTTTTACTCGATCTATAACAACTACAATCTAAACCCTAAACTTGTGTGTTGTGATCGTATGTTAGCCTATTTTTTTGTGTCATGTTAGTAAGTTAGTATCTACGGTTTACGTCCAAGGTTTTAGGGTTGAGGTTAGGCCAAGGGCCCCTTATGTATTCATATTTATATGTTTATATGAGGTTTAATCCTCACTATTAATCAAGCAAGTCATTACCTATCATTGTTATGCACACGGTTCTAAATTTAATTAAACTTTCATGTTAAAAACTCAAAACTATTAATCAATTATTTTAAATATATTATTAATTAATGGATATTTGTTTAGTTATATAAAATTATAATCATTTATTCAAATAAATACGTGAAATTATAACCTTACAAGATGTATTAAATTTTTTATTTTTTATTCTAATGTTAGTAATTTAATGTAATTAGAATGAGAAATATAAAATTTAATATTGAAATGGAGAATCAATAGGTCGATAAGTTGCATGACATTAAATAGGAGGCTTAATAGGGTGACACATACCAAAATAACAACTATTTTATTACTATAGGAAGATAGTGTATAGTAGCAGAAAACATAAGCATTTATGACGGACAAGTCAATCAATTGTCTGTAAGAAAACCCCTTTACCAATACATTTGTTGAAGTAAAAATCCATTGGAAAAACCTTGTGGGTTATAGTTTATAACAATTTATCGAGAACTATTTTCACAATTTACAACAAAAGACACCTTTGGTAATTAGGCCATCGAGTAGATTACAATTAGATCTTTTTCATAACATATTATTCACAAAATGATCTTTTAATAATTTAATTTTCTCTATAATCCATTTATAACTGTTGGGACTTGATAGCAAAACACACAAACACACATACACACATACACACAGATATATATATATATATATATATATCTATATATATATATATATATATATATATATATATATATATATATATATATATATATATATATATAAAAGTTAACTATTTATAGAATGTGTTGTGTGATAAATTAATTTATGTTCGGAGTAACCGAGTCTCTTTAGCAAAATCCAAGGTGGTGTCTTTGAGCTTAATTAGATGTTCCTTATGGCAAGGAATTTATGATGAAGTGAAACCCTTAGTTTATTGATATTTCAAAGGTCTTCATAGGACATTCAATTGTTAGATATTGTTTGTAAGGAAAACATTTTCGTGTGATTTCTAAACACTAAAACTTTGTGCTCAGCCCAATTACATATAGCACTTTTTCTATATGTTTTGAATATGTGCATATATGGATACCATTAGGTAGGAACTATGCTGGTCCTTAAATCAAAGATTTTTACCTTACATTACAAGGAGTTCTCCTTGATGTATATTGTCTTAAGAAAAAAATCTGCTATCAACCACTTCATGAGTCCTTTGACTCTAACGAATGACAACTTGAATAAAGCCAAATTATATACATGTGTTAGATATCCCCCGCACATACAAAATATTCTTCTATATCCACATAAAAAGGATAGAAACCCCGTTATAAATAATATATCTCTTGTTAAACTCCGATTAATTTATGCAATAATTAACCAATTGATTTTCTACATGTGGTTAATTAATACATTTTAAATTTTTATTTACCAGCTCTTTTCAATAAGCTATGTATAATTGTTGGACCTTCATAGATATACATGTTTGTTATAATTGTTAGAACATTTAACTTGATTAATTATGCAATGTATTGTATGAAAATTTTATTTATCGAGGGAGTGACTAGGCCTCTAAGAACAAAAGTGTAGTCTCAGACATTATTTGATGTCTAAGGAAAGGAGCCTATGGTAAAGTGAAACCCCAAAGTTATTTAATATTTTAAATGGTCATCATAATACATTCAACGGTAAACACTTAGGTAAAGTTTATAAATAAATCATTTTGGTGTTAAATCTAAACCCTAAACTTGGGTGTTCCAATCGTATGTTAGCCTAAGTTTTAGTGTCATGTTAGTAAGTTAGAATTTATGGTTTACGTTCAAGGTTTTAGGGTTTATGCTAGGCAAAGGGCCACTTATGTATCCATATTTATATATGTATATGAGGTTTAATCCTCACTATTAATCAAGCAAGTCATTACCTTTCATGATATCACAGCTATCGGTTAAAACTCTACTACTGACAATGTGACAACCGTCAAAATTCGAGTCGGTTCTAGATTTGATAAACTTAGTTATACTTATAGGCACGACACATACTAGACTTAGTAACTAGAAGCAAAGTTACAACCTAGTAGAAACTTGGAAACAGATAGAAACAATGGATAGTGTACTTAGATTTCACATTGATATGTG